TCCAAAAATGGCACTACATGGTGCCCAGCTCAATATCATCATATCCAGGGTCTTCTCCTTGCCCCAGGACCAATAAGGAAGCTTTCCCTTCCATCCTAGGGTTGGCAGCTTCTCTAGGAGACTGCAGAGAGTCACCTGAGATGGAAAGGAGAATTATGGTTACAGTAGTGACACAAAGACAGGACAGAGGCCCATGGTGGAAGGTGAGCCCAGTACAGAGTAACCATAAAATATCTGTGGGCACCCAGTGCTTGTCTGAAAGGCTAGAGCTACCACATACTGATTCAGGTACTCTGTGCAAAGTCACATGCTGACTTTGACTGTTGGTATGAAGATGGGATAATTAGGGCAAAGACTGGGAGAGAGATATGAATATCCTTCTTCAATATTAGACTAGTTTGATTTTGAAGGAATTGAAGTAGGAAGCCCCCTCTCTAGATATCTCAGCACCTCACTAAACAGACACTAAACAGACAAGCCTGACTTCAAACTATACAATGGAACACCTCCAGGTCCTCTGCCACACGCTAACAAAGGGAATTTCATCATATCTCATAGTCTCTTGCTCCCAGGGGCCACATGCCCACACCTAAGCACTAATCTTGGCCATAACATGATAATCTTTATCTGTCTGTTGAAACACTGAGAGGAAATTATCTCTTTGTTTTCCTTCTAGTGCTGAGATTTTAAGATTCTTTAATTAAGGACATGGCACAATTTGAATTAATAGGGGGCAATGTCAACTTGAAATATTTAGGTTATATATTTTCCCAAAAACAGCAAAATGACTCAGAAATTCAATCTACCTTTGATGGCAGTGAAGTTTTTTTTTTTTTTTCTTTTGCTATCAACAGCCCTTCCCTGATTACCTGTCATAATCTGAAAAAGTCTTTAAATTTATTCAGCTAGGATGGGAAATTCATGAACAACATCTCTGAAGCTCATTATACAGACATGTCCATGTTCAAGGGATAGTTGGCATGGACACTGAATCCACAATATGTCCCTTTTGAAAAAGAGATGAATTAGCTACAATATATCAGGGATGTGGAAGAGCTGATCTCTGAGTATAGGAGGCTACCCAGATCATGACAATCCAAAAACAAAACAAACTCACTGCCGTCGAGTCAATTTGACTCATAGCAACCCATCCTTGGGTTTCTGAGGCAGTATCTCTTCAGAAGTAGATTGTCCAATCTTCTTTCCAAGGAGTGGCTGGTGGGTTTGAACCTCCAGCCTTCTGGTTAGCAGTCAAATGCCTTATGCATTATGCTACCAGAGCTTCTTCTGATTATGATTGTGCAGGGGGCAAAAAGGAGCATTGGAGGGTTCAAACTCACTTTTCTTATGAGAAAGGACTAAGACTGCTTCAGGCAGAGCTGTCTACTCACCTGTCTCAGAATACCTGACATCACCTCCCTCCTCTGGGAAAAAATGTTTTTCACTCATCCCAGGGGTAGGAGGAAGTTCAGGAACAGGTAACTCTTCAATATCATCATAGCCATTTTCAGTGGCATCAACATGATTTCCTGGAGGCTCTGGAGTAGACAAGGACATAGGTAGAATAGGAAAATATCGGTTGGACTAAGTGGTATCCAAAATCTCTTTTCATACAGAGATCCTACTAGCTGATAAATATGTTGTTGTTGTTATTATGTGCCATTGAGTCGGCCCTGACTCATAGCGACCCCTCCTTGGGTTTCCGAGGCAGTATCACTACGGAAGTAGGATTGCCCAACCTTCCTTCTGAGGAGTGGCTGGTGGGTTTGAACCGCCAACCGTCTGGTTAGCAGGCAAATGTCTTAGCCACTATGCTACCAGAGCTCCTCTGATAAATATAGACCCAGACTTTCCCAAAGGTATGTATGTATTTGATCTCAATATTCCCATGAACCATCAAAACATTAGAATGTATAAAGGTCAACAATATTTTTCTAAAATGTCCTTTCATCCCATAAAAAAAGAACAAAAGTTATTGTGCTATGGGGAGCTCTGGTGGTGTAGTGCCTAAAGTATTTGACTGCTAACCAGAAGGCTGGTGGTTCAAACCCACCAGCCACTCCTGGGAAGGAGGATGGGGCAATCTACTTCCATAGTGATACCATCTCGGAACCCAAGGTGGGGTTGCTATGAATTGGATCTGACTCGACAGTAGTGAGTGAGTTATTATGCTATGAGTTTCAGGTACTATTTTCAACATATGGTAAAAGAGTTGCAAAACATATTATGTACATATCAGTCACTCAGGGAGGGTGAATTTGGACCAAAAGAACCCAGGCTGCTAACTTATCTTCTGAGGCTGTGAGAGACACAGAACTTCTAGGGAGAAGGCTGGGTGGGGATCTGTCAGTCAGAGACAGGAGATCCCCACCAATCCCAACAATGGAAGGCCTGGGTTTCAATCCTTTCCAGTGCTCTGATGATGTCAGGATCCCATTTCCACAAAGCCTTCCAGACATGCCCCATTCCACGAGCTGCCCATCTCTGCTACTTGGGGAATACCCAGGACAAACATTTTCCTTTCTTTAACAAAACCAAAAATCACCAAGTCCATTGCTGATTCACAGTGCCTTATAGGACAGAGGAGAACTGCTTCATAGGGTTTCCAAGGCTGTTATTTTTATGGAAGCAGGTTGCCACATCTTTCTCCTGTAGAGCAGTTAGTGGATTTGAACTGCTGACCTTTTGGTTAGAAGCTGAGTGCTTAACCACTGAGCCACGAGGGCTCTTTAGTCTTCTCTCTTAGGATCCCTATAAATAAGAGCTCCTGGTGGTTGGTAAGTACAACATTGTTCACTCTCTGTATTTCAGGGGTTTATTAAAATCAAATTTTCTTTCGTCTCACTATACATGTTGTTGTTGTTGTTATGTGCCATCGAGTCGGAGCCAACTCATAGTGGCCCCTCCTTGGATTTCCAAGGCAGTATCAGTATGGAAGTAGACTGAACAAACCTTCCTTCCGAGGAGTGGCTGGTGGATTTGAACCGCCAGCCTTTTAGTTAGCAGTCAGGTGCCTTAGGCACTATGCTACCAGAGCTCCCTATATATATGAAGTGCCAAATAATCCAAATATCACACTAACTCATAAATCAAAACATATTTCCCAGTGTTCTTTCTCACTATGGAATTTTTGAGATTTTTATTAGTTTCAATGTTATTTTAAAAACATGATCTTTGGATCTGTGACAATACAGTAGAACCACATGTGTTTCTGTGCCTGAACAGTAGCTATGGCTACAGAGAATTAAGCTTGATCTTTCCCTTTCTGAGGTGACAGAGTGGGCAGAGAGAAGAAAGAATTGTTGCCACCTGGAAAGAAGAGACCCTTTCCTTCTCAGTCATAGAAAAATGTTTTTCTCTAATGGAATTCCTCTTTTCCACTCCCCATCCAAGGACAGACCTACATTTATTACCTTGAGCAGATTCGGGATCTCTATCCTCCTCATAGTCCCCTCTGTAATATGGCAGCTTAGTCATTGCATCATCAGACAGGTTGTCTGGTAGAGAGAAACATATCAGAGACAGAGAGCAAAACTTTTCCCGCAGTAGGAAGTCCAGTATCAAGGGTTAGAAGAAATCTTGTCTTTAGACTAGTAAAGAGAAGGCTTGGTGCTCCTACCATAGGAGAATGTTACATGTGAGTGAGAGGTAGTGGTGGGGTCTGTCTTTGTTGAAGATACCC